GGCTCTAAGTAAAAAAATTCCTTGTAAAATTTTACTATAAACCTTACTAAACTCTAACCCTAATATGAGCTCTGACTTTTATCCTAAAGATTTAAAAAAACTTTTTTTATTTATTAAATTGTTTATTTATTTGTTTATATTACACAAATTTATATATTGTAAATCACAGGTGATCATCACCTGAGGTATTCATTAGTTATTTTCTAAAAAAAAATACAAATAATATATAAAAAAACAAAGCTAAACTAGTAACTAAACTAGACAGAGTAGCTGATATTGCACTAGTAATCTCAGAGTATTGTTAATGAATTAATGGCATTTGAGTTATATCATCTTCATATGTTGTTTCAGAGTTCACTCTTTCAGATCTTTTAGTTCACCATTCAGAAGCAGGAATGCTATTTTTTTTTGAATTAAAGGTGAATTTTTTTTGGATAACATAAATTTTTGGATTTGGCTAGTATTAAGAAATTAAATTTAATAATTTGGGCCAGATTATATAATATCACATGATTTTAGATTATTGCCCAAAAATTTCGTCATTCCAAAGTTCTCAAAATTTAAATTTTATAAATACAACCAATCAGATTAATAGGAATTAACAGACAATATGATTTGTAACCAATCAAAAATACTAAAATTGTGGATAAAAATTTTTAAAATTTTGGTTTTTTATGGATAATCCTTAAAATTATGGATTTTTTCTAAAAATTATAAAAAATTATGGATCTATAATTTTTGGTATTTCTGTTTAGAGATGAAGCCTACATCAAACTAATCTGGCTACACAGATTATCTAATCTATTTAAAATGTAAATACTTAAGGGTAACCTCTCATTTTGGATAATCAACTATACTGGCTGTTTAGAAAATTATATATCAATCTTTTGGAGAAGTAAGCTAAGATGTCCACTTTTTAACAAAATAACAAAAAAAATAAAGAGCCAACAAAACTTTTCTGTGATTGTTTCTTGTAAGTTTTATGGTTATATAAAGATAATCTAAAGCTTGGAATACTCTTGGTGTTGACCTAATCATTTTGTGTTTCCAAAATATTCTTCTGGTTTGGATGCCGAATATAATAGAGAAGTCTACCAACCAAAGCTTGACCTCTACAAAAACCAGTCCAAAATAGTCCACTTCTTGGTTTTACAATCTTGGTACTTCATTGACAACACACCTACTTCTGTAGGTCCAAGTTGATTATTCACTTCAGTATCTTCTATAACATTTTTCCACAATTCAGTTTTTTGAATGTTGTTGCTGAAGGATCATTGGAAAGAGTTTTGATAGTGTTATCTTATAGCATTGTATTATATATATATTAAAGTTAATTTAGAATTAAATTTAGAAACATAAATAGTTATATATAAAATAAGATACTAAACAATTTATTTAAGATATCTACATGTAGTTTTCTTAGTAAAATTTTGAGATATTAATAATTTTTGATTTTTTCTTATGCCGGATATTATACCCACTAAATACAAATAGTAATTCTCTTAAAATTTTACAAAACTTTTAATTAAAAATATACTGTAATACTGTATTTATTTATTTTAACTATAAAATTAGTAAAATTTAGATAAAGAAAAGTTTATTGAATTTAATTAAGATATATATCTTTAATAAGGCTAAAAAACAAATTTCAATATAGTAGCTTTGATAGATAGTTTACTAAAGAGATGTAAAAATATCAATTCCCTTTGATTAACAATTATTTAAAACAAAGTGTTATATGTAACAAAAATATTCTATTTACGAACCAAATATTCTATTGGTCAACACTGGACTAATCATATTATAAATCCGGTAATCGTCATTAGATAAATTTTTTATTTTTCAGCGCATTGGAACACGGAATTTAAACTACAATAAAATTTTACAAAAGCCATTAACCATACGAAAAATTTGATCATTGTACTTTTACCCCAGGCGTATATTAGTATCCAGCGTATTCAAAATAGTATCGTTTTTTTTTTTTTTATTTAAATATTGTGAAAACTTTAATGAGTAAATAAAGTTTAGTTCAGATTGCAGTAAAAATAAATAAATAAATCAATAAGCATTTGCAATCTTTTAATAACAATGCTTAAAATATTTCTACTAAATAAATAACTATATTAATACATATATTATAAAAATACCACCCATATTAATAAATTTTAATTTTTATAATAAATAGAATTATATAAGCACAAATTGATTGGTCATTCCAAAACTTGAGTGTAGTTACTAGGAAACAATCCTCTCTTCTTTCTACTCTCATCAAGCAATTCGCCTTCCCACCATCCATCAGCATTTGTACTCAACACTGCAATCACATCATTTGCTAGAAATGGTATTTCTTCATTCGCTGTGGTTTTGTAATCATATAATGCTTTCACTATTTAATAAAGTAAATGAAAGTTAATAAAAGGTTTTTAAATCGATTTTATTGTAACATCCAATGCATTGTAACTAGCCTCTCTTCATTAAGATAGTTGAGGGGATATATTACAACCACATGGTGTTGAAAAAACTTGTTCATAAATTTTTTAAAAGATTAGCTCAAATCAAATACCTAAAAATAAAATTTGTCTACCATCGTCCATACGTTGCACCCCTGGTCCATTAGGTCGCTGAAATCCATGAACATTAAATGCCTGTTGTGGTGGTGGTCGTCTTGGATCATAAGGGACATTATAAAATCCCGGGTTTGGATATATTGATTGGGGATATTGTGTTCTTGGTTGAACGCTGAATGTGCCACTTCTTACCACATTATTTGATGATCCAGATGATACTCTAGGATCTTGAGAAATGTTCATTGCTGGTTGATTATAAGCAGGCGCATGTGTCGTAGGCATCCGCTGTCCATATGGAATTGTATTTCCATACGGTGAGCCGCTTGGACGAATTTGTTGATAATACTGATTCTGTCGATCAAAAT